TTTACCAATACTAGGCCTTCATGTGCTTTAGTGGGCCATACAACTATCTTGATAAATCTTAAAATTTTCCTTCTAACTTTTTGTAGTTGCTTGTCAACCTTTAAATGTAAATATAAAAGCTAATGACTGAAATTTCAAAGCCAAGTAACCGCTCCTATTAAACAGCTAAGTTTTCCAAGTCAACTCTGAAAATCAATCTTTTTCACTGTCTAAAATTTCAAAAGTTCCTGTTCATATGTCACTATTCAAGATTTTAAGAAATGAAATCACCTAGAAGTTCTGATCATCAACCTTCCTTTTCCCTTCCATCCCAGATTTTATTTATCTTGAGAAAGTCTTCCCTGTTCTAGTTAGTGGATCGTTTTGAAGGGTCTGCAGCTTCCTGACCACACTTTGAATACCTTTACATAGGACTATCAATTGCTTTAATTTTAATTAAAATGAAGCAACGAAGACAAGTCAAATAAAGAACATTTTTATAAATCCATACTCATAGATGTGAACAGGTATTTTTTAAGTTAACAAATAGGAATTTCAATTGTAGAGGATGATACTCGTGGTTTTAGATGATATGTAATTCAGAAGGATCAAAAGCTGTAAACAGAGCAGAACAGAAATATGAGAAAAAATTGTTATCATCAATATTTCAGTTTAAAAAGTAACACTGCAGTCATGCAACACTGGCAAATTTTTCTTTTTCTATTATACTGTGTATGGACCAACCTTGCAGTCTTGACAGAAATGACAGAAGTTGTGAAGAGTATTATGTTGTTCATGCACAGTGATTCTTTTAGTGTACCCAGGACTGATCAGGCTATTGCTTAAGGCTGGAATGCTCCGAAGAAAACAGACACTAGATAGAAACCAGAGTTATTGATATTTAAAAAAAAAAAGGAGGCTCAGACTTCATATAAAGATTGCACTGTGTTTAGATCCCATTTATTTAAATCAATGGAAAAAAAGAATTCCATAGTTTTCAATTCAAGAAAGTGCTGATTCTTATGGGAAGCCTTCTCTGTTTGTTGGTGGAAGTGCAAAATCTTAAATACATGGGGAATAAAAGGTGCGTTTCAGCAAAGTAATAAAGATCTCTGGCATGGTTTCTCTGAGCTGGCCCTGGAAGGAATTGCTTTTGTATTGTGAGCATTAGTACTATTTCTGGGATAAAATACATTTTTTTCCTGGCTTTTGAATAATTTACCTTTTTATGTTGTAGTAGAAAGCATTAGTGCCAAAGTAGTGTGAACATAATCTACTGCAATTAGATAGACAGATAACCGATGCAGCAGGCCCAACGAAAACCCTCCATCACTTAAAAAGTACCGAGAGTGCCTAAAAGAGCCTTACCAATAATTTTATAAGTTATAAAAATAGTTCAGTGCAGAGTTATTGCATGCTCCTGACCGTTTTCATTCTGTTGCTTTCCAGCTGTTAAATACAGCATGGCAGTAACTCTTCCTCTTTGAATCAAGGAGACATTCTCCTGCACAGTCTATTCGGGGGATTTCTGTTCTGAAGATGGATGCAGGCTCTGATATTGGATTTTGAAGAAGCTGTTGTGCCCAGTGTACTCTATATAAGGCTGGATAAGAGGGAAGGACTACTATATTGTACATGGAACAAAACATTCCTGACACGCAGAATGGGCTGTTGCATGTTCACATCACGCACCCTACAAATCATCTTTGACACTTTATAGCTTTAAATAGCTGTTTTTCAGAAATCTCTGACTCGGTATTTTATATGGCCCTTATTACTATTGTTCTCAGAGCAACTGGAGAGCAATTTTTTTCCTTGTAGCATTGTGTGGGAGAGAAAACTGGTATCTCCACCTTAGAGCTGGCCTAAGGCTGAGTATACATTGGATCATTTGTCTAATCTATAGTCATCTGCTTAGAGGAAGTCTACAAGCACAGATTCAGCCCTTGTGTCTAATCCACCTTACCTCTAAATCTGCTGGGTGCTCTATCAGGCAGGGCCTAAGAACTTTCTAATCGGTTTTGTATCGAAATAATAATTCTTTCATAAGTTTTTTTTAAAGATCTTTCACTTGTATATTCCTCTTTGGGCTGTGTGTGTGGGGATTGAACTTTGAAGAAGGCTAAGTGTGTCCCCCCCTTCAGAAGGCCTTAAAGCTTTTCAGAGCTTTACTCCTTCAAAAAATTAGAAAGCCTTTTAATTGGTTTAGGTTGTACACTTTGCCTTTAGAGTCCTGGCCCAGAACATATCCCATAGGAGAGCTCAGGATTCAGAGGCCATACAGGGAAGGGCCGTTGTCCTCTCTGAAGTCTCCAAGTACTGCTCTGAAATCTCTTAAGAAAATCCCAGCTGTTCTTCTATCAAAAATGGAAAGAAAGTGTAGAAATAAACTTTAGGCCAATTTTTTCCTAGTTTCTGTGAAGGGCAACACCTCGAGTTCTTTCCTGTTGGAAATAATACTAAATGTGCATTCCATTAATCACATTTTTAATGGAAAAAAATCTTACAAGCACTTTTACTTCAAATGCCATTTCTTTAACAAAATTGTTTTCATGGATTACATCTTCTTTGTGTACTTGGACAGTACAAATGCTTTAGGGGAAGGTGTCACCTGATTCTCTTTCATTAGCAGGATCTTTCCATCTTAATCCTACAATCAGTTTCTATCCACTTCCCTGTATAGAAAATTATTTGTGTCAGAATTGCTGAGTAAGGAAACCTCAAGTTATAGTAGAATTTAATTTATGCTGAAGAAATTAATGCCAGCTAATATTCTTGTTTCTTGTTCTATTTTTCTTCTGTATTTGGTTTTTGGTAATTGGCCCAACTTGTGTCCTACTGTGGGAGCTTGGCAGGGAGAGAGGGATAAAGAACGGAGAAAAAGATTTGTAGGTGGCAGGGACAGCTTGTGTATGTGGCTGCATGCATATGTGAGCTGGCAGAGAGCAAGGCTATGTGGATTTTAACTGTTTAACTAATACTGTACATAAATCTTTAGCTAGCTGGGAATGTGACCCAAGAAAGGCAAAAGAAATATTTGCAGGTGCTCCGCCGGTATTTGATTTCTGTACAGGAGTGATCAGCATGCACTTAATTACTTCCCCAGAGACTATGTCCATGCAAGGGTGAATCATGCAACTCTCAGTTGACTCATGGGTAGAAAAAATGGAGTTAGCACAATCCAAAATGGCAAGGATTTGTGGTCAGAAGGAGAAAAATAAAATGTACATTTACACAACAAATGTAGGCAGTGAAGGATTTTCTGTTTGGTACTTCTTATCATGGCAAAGGGAAGAGTTGGGTTTCTTTAAGAAAAAGGCAACTTGAGTAGAAAATGAAAGCCAATATATTGCCATTCCACCTCTAGCTCTGATCTTGCTTGATCTGGTAAGTTAAATGGGGTAAGTGCATGTGACATTATTAGAGAAAAACTAGGCAATAGAGGACGGAGTATTTTAATTGCTCAGAGGAACTCTTCCTCCTGAGTCAGAAATAAAGCTGCGCCTCTACATGCTGTCAATGGCAATATGGTGTTGGTTAATTACCCTTTGAATAGCGTCTAATGCAGAAGTTGTGATGATCAGTGGGTATTAGAAACCAAAATGACCTTTGTTTAGGACAAGTGCTTTGGCTGCATCCAGTTTTCGGTAAGTGCTTTACATCTCTTCCAGGTTTTTTTTAACTGTAGTTCCAAGTGGATGTGTTGTTTTCTTGTTTCTTTGCCTCGATCTGTTAGGTAGTGGTGTTTTCTATTATATTATGAGTTCCAGCTGAGAGATAGCTCATTTAAAGTGGTGGGGAGAAAGCCTCAAAAAGAGATGGAAATTTGATACATCCCACTGAAATCCATTTGTAGAGAAGGCACTAAGTTTGTTCGAAAGTAATTCCTTTGTAGGGGTATTACGAATTCTAAATACTCTTTTTTTTTTTTTCTGGTTGAAATGGAAAACCACTTGAAAGGAAAGAACCACTGTGTTTCAAGTTCCACAAATAGTATTGCATGCATGTGATATTAAATGGATACTTGGTTATCATGAGAATCTACAGCCAGGGGTTTGCACACAGGACACGGTATTCCGGACATTCACCTCCGTGTACGTCAGAGTGGATTAGTTCTTCAGGTTGTGGCAGCTTCTGCAGTGGTTCCTGAGGGGTGTTTTAGAACTCTGCATCTCTTGTTTAACATGGCAGCTCGGAGAGTCCAGAGAGGTTTAACATGTACTGCATTCAGCTTGCATTTTGTTTTAAAGGAGTCATTTTTGCTCTCTGCGGAGGCTCCAATTGTAGAGGGCCAAATGACGGGCATAATTAAGGCAAGTGGTGGGATACCAGCGGAGCGCTTTGGTGTTTCCACCAAGGATTTTGCAAATCCTGGCTTGATTAATCTATTTAAACATCTGTGCATCCTCTCGTCTGTGCAACTTATCCCCGGGTATCTCTGCCTGCCTTACCGTGCCTGTGTGTCTGCCTGCTCGTAGCGGATCAAACACAGCCGCAGCCCGCTCTGCCGCCTCGCTCAGCGCTCGCACACGATGCGAACGGTTCTGTCCTCCTTGAAATGCAGCTCACACTCGCATTCCGTAGTGGAACCGCAGGGCAGAGCCCACAATATTGAGAAACCGGATCGAAGCGGGGCCGGCGGACGGCGGCGCCGGGAGCCGCGGGCGGGCGGCGGGCGCTGCGCCGGGGCCGTGCCGCTGTCCGGCCGGGCCGCCCCTGCCCCCGGGCCGCCGCCCCCGGCCCGGCCCCGCTCCCCTCGCCTGTCCCCCCACTTCTCCGCTCCAGGCAGCCGGCTCCAGCTCGCCTCCTTGACGTCATGTCTGTAGCGAGGCTTCAGCAGGCGCAGTGGAGGCAGGCAGCGTGTTAAACTTTCAGATCAAGTCCGGCGGCTCCCAACGCCGTGCGCGGGGGGCTGCGTGCAGCCGCCGCAGCTGGAACATCTGGAAGCGTTCAGTGTGTCTGTCTGTCGGCGAGAGGGAGAGAGCGGGGAGCGAGCGCGCTGAGGGAGGGGAGGGAGTAAGGGGCTGGGACTGTGCTCTCTTCCTCTGCAGAAACAGCTCCCTGCCAACACAACGCGCTCAGAATGGCTTTGAAGAGGAGGAGCAGCAGCGTTTGAACATCTCTCTTTTTTTTTTGCCTTCCTCCTTCTCTTACTCTTGTAGTTGGTGGATTTTTAAAAAGACATTTAGCCCTCAGAGGTTTGTCCTGGATGCTTTTGCTTTTTTCCTTTATCCCCCCCCTCTCTCTCGTTTCCCCCCTTCCTGTTCTTTTTTATGGTTTAACAGCCAGAGGTGCTGTGCTAAATTCTTGGAAGGGGCCCGGATGTACTGAGGATGCATTGCAATTTCACTAAAGGAGGCAGTAGTGGAAAGGATCAGTTTTTGGTGTTTGATGCAATAATGGGAATCAGGTAATAATAAAAGGGGAAATTCTACAGCTCCATTCTTCCTTGAATTTTACCAAGCCGATTTTCGGAGGGATTAATCTGGACTCGTTTTAAATGGTCAATGAAAACAAGAGGATGTACATTCCAGAAGAAAACCATCAAGGTAAGCCTGAGATTTACCTCCGAGGACCTAGCAACCATTCCCTACCCTGCCCTTTGTCCGTTATCTCTCGGCTCAGTTCAGCCGCCGCTGCCACAGCCAGCGGCAGGCGGAGGGGCCGGGGCAGAGGACAGCCTTTGACACCGGGTTCCATTCGGAGCATACAGCTCCCCTCGGCCGGGCGTGCTGCGAAGAGACCACCCCAGCCCCTCAGGGAACGGGTGTTAGGAAACCCCGGGCAGAGAAAAGTTGCTTTAAGTCGCCGTCGTCGCCTTCTTAGGCGGAGGGGTGAGGAGGGGCGCCCAGCAAAGGGGCTGCGCGCTGGGGCCGGAGGCTGAGGGGAGCCGCGGAGCAACCCACTCCTCCGTGTCAGAGGAAGATTAACTCGCAGTGTGACTGGAATTAAGGGATCTTTCCCAATTAACGTTGTCCCGGTCCTCCAAACCCCCGTCTGGGTTCGGCTTCGTAAGACACCGGGAGAGGAGCCCTTCCCTTCTCTTACGCTATTTCTAATCTCTCACACGAAAGGGGAGGGGAAGGGAGAATTATCTGTTTACACGCATATACACCATACACGCGCCCATACTGAGAGAACGAGGGACATCGGGGGGGCCTGTATTAAAATTAAAGTTGGTTTTTACTTGGGGCACTGATTTCTCGCCGAGCTCCTCTCAGGATCGCCCGCATCATGGATACCAACCCGTGCTGCTGCTCCTCGGCATTAGCAAACGTCCCCCGCTATTCCCTGTAGTAAAACTTTGTTTGTCCAAACTCCAGAAGCCTTCCCCCGCCCTCACTCCCCCCACCCCCCCCGCCCAACCCCGATCTGCCGTTCCTGAAGTTATTTTTATCCTATTACCTGCATGGTGTCACCCCCTCCTCTCCCTTCCCTCCAGCCCTGGCTGCACACACACGTCGGTGTTGCAGAGCAGACAGAGCCATTTCCTCCCCTCGGCGAGAGAGGAGCAGCGCTCCGCCGGGAGCGGGTGCCGGGCTGCCTCCCCCTCCCCAGCAGAAGCCCCCAGGGCGGCCAACTTCTTCCTCATCTCGCCCTTCGCCCCCGGCCTTGCCCTCAGGGCAGCCCCTCCCTCGGCCGGCGACAACTTGCCTGCCTGGAAACGAGCCCCCGCCCGCCGTGCCCGAACACCTGCTCGGGGTGCGGGGGTGCCCCGGGTGAGCCCCCCCGCTGCCCCTACCCCCGAATCCCTCGCAGGGGCGGCCGAGGGTGCAGCTGGGGAGGGGCGTTAGCGCTGTGGCAGCCCTCAATGGTGGAGGGGCAGTGGGTTTCGGAGATAACAACACCCTCCTTCCGATTAAATACAGCTTAAAAAGAATAAAACCACCCAGCACCCCCACCCCTAGCCACTCTGTCGAAACGAGGTGGGAGGGAAAAGGAAGCAGCCCCTGATCCAGAGTGCTCCTTCCAAGTGGGAGCGAGTCCGCAGCACATGCATTCAGCAGGCATAATTGGGCTGCTCTTCCTGGTCCAGAGCTGATAAAGTGGATGAAGAGCTCAGCCTCCATAGCAATATGCCAACGCTATGGCAACCTAAATCCAGCTCCCTCCTTATCAGCTGCAGTGATTATATAATTGGAGGAACAGTTTTGCATCTGTCTCTTGATGCAGATTGTCATTACTCCCAGGTGAAAGAACAACTTCTAAAGCAAACAGAAAATCAGCCAGGTGGAAGAGAGTTCTGTTCCCTGATAGTGCTCAGGCTGCCATTTATTTACAATCTGTTTTTATTTTGTGCAAACAGCACCTGAAAGGTTAAATTGATCAGTAGTCAAGAAAACCTGGTGGTGAGGAGACAGGAGTAAACCAATCACAACGTGGAATGGAGCCATTAAAGCAACCACAGATTCCCAGTTGTGAGGTAGTGGTAGAAAGGGAGTGGAAGATGAAGTGAGGTGTGTGATCCTTGTCTACTCCTTGCTTCTAAGAGAGAAGACTGATTTGGATAAGTCTTGCGTCTTTCTCGGTTGCTGGCAGCAAGGTAAATGTTCCAGGTACTAGTGATGCAAGACCAATTTTGATGTCTGTTCTTGAAACGTGAGTGACATGACTAGGCCTCTGCCAGCAGTTGCTCTCGGCACGGGTCTGATCTCAGTCAGCCCTTTATCAGCCTGCTGAACAGCCCTTACACTCAGGTATCTGGGCAGTAGGGGAGCTGGTGTAATAGGGCTTACTTAAAATAAATAAATAAAGCATAGAGAGGCCATTAGTTACACTGTGAGGGCTGTGGGGAAGAGAAATTGCATTTGAAGGTGCTTTGTTGACTTCTTAACTGCTAATTTGGGTAGGTTTGTAACACACTCATTTTACGCTTTTGAACATAACTTTGTACCCTGAAAATCTTCGACCCTAAACTAAGAATTTCCTAATTTTTTTTGGGTGTTAAAACATAAGCCTACTGTGTTTTCATGACAGTCTCCCATTGCGTGAAGGGGGAGTAAACAGTATTATTTGTAGATGCTGAGACACTTTCCAATCTTCATTTTTGCCCCACAACGGAGTGTATTTTTTGTAACCATTAATTATTCATTAATACCATAGAGCACGTGTTTGTCTAGAAAATGATGAAAACCCACCTGATAAGCACCAGCAAAAGCTTTCAAAAGTAACTACATCACATCTAATGCACACGTGGGACCGGATGGAATCCTAGATGGGCAGCTTTAATGCGCTGCCTCATAATACTTTGCAAACTTGCTCTCCTAATACAAAATGGAAAATCAGTTTGCAAACCCACGTGTTGCAGCTCTCTCCGGGGAGGGACCGGAACGAGCCATCCTGGCCCCTGGGTGGCCGCTTTGGCTTTCCAGCGTTGCTCGAACACCTCGTGAGGTTTCGCTGCTGGCCCTGCTGGGGTCCGGCGGGATCTGTCCTGGGGAGATTTGGCGATCAGGCAGGAAATGAAAGCAAGGCAGCAGGTTTTGCCGTGTTTTTCAGTTCCGGGGATTAGGTGGGGAGGGGGAGCGGGGGGGTCCCGGGCTGCGTCTCCCGGAAGGTGGCACTGCAGGGCCGCGGAGCCCGGCGGCGCTCGGAGGGGCTCGGCAGGAGAGACACTTCCCGGGATGCTCGTCCAGACCCTGCTCTTCAGGAGGAAAGGCCAGATGTAGCACTGAGAGATAAGTGTCTATCCCGGAATAAAATTCATTAGGCTTGAAGAGCCCCTGTCAGGTCATTTATTCCGTGTAGTAATGATTCTCTGAGCGAAAAGCCATTTCTGACACCATGTCTGAACTACCCTGCCTTCAATTTCAGAAAATGCCTTTGGGCTTTGTCCTTATTGCATATTTTGAACAGATTTCTACCTGCTGCTTGTAGAAAAGAACCCCCTCAGGTATTTGTCAACCATAATTAGGTCTTCTTGCAACCTCCTTTCCAAACCTGCACGTACACTGTTCTTGAAATCTTCCCCTGTAAGACACTCCTTTCATAGTCCTTGTATCTTCTGTATCTGTTAAATTAAGAACTAATTAGTATACCCTTTATTTCTCAGAAGCCTATTGATAGCGAGAGGGTCAAGTCACAAGCCTAGTCCCTAATGCATTTTCTGACCTGAAGTGAGGGTCAAACCCACAAATATTCCCCTTAACTTTGCAGGTATAAATAGAGATGATTGTGCACACTTCACAGCTGATTTCAGTTGAAGGACTGAAATCTGTCTCATGCTGTGCTACAAGACAAAACCATTGGCTATATGCACTAGAATTTATTGGATGTTTGCTTTAATTTTCTGGTCTATTTTCAGAATGCCAGTTTTATTTCCTGTTATTTTTTGGGGGAAATGCTTTTACGTGTAGGAGAAACCATGCTCTTTCCATGGTGACAAAGTGATCAGATTAGCAAACTGAATTGTCATTTTTGACTATTTGTTCTTGTGCTCTTGTTTTGCTGTCAGAGTGGGCATTAGTCGTGGGACATAAAGAATACTCTAAGTGGTCTGAAACAGCTTATCTTCAAGATTTTTGTAGAAAAGAGTCTGAATCACTGTTTAAAAATGTGGCACTTTAATTCCATCCCCCCACCCTATTTAACAATAAACCCTCGTATTTATGAAGTATTATCTTCTGCCTCAAAGTACTTGGAACTTTCAGTAACTGTAAAGCATTTAATGCAATATAATAAGAAATAGCAGTGTAATATAAAAATATATAATATAATGCTAAGTAACAGTACTTAAACACTGTGCATAATACAGTGCACTGCATTTACTTGTGAAAGGTGACAGTAGAGTCTTCAGCAAAGCATTTCCTATCCTTACAAGGAGTATTTAAATATCCTGGAATTTAAAGTATATACTTCTGAAAGATTATCTTTGAAATTATCTTCAGTCACAGTCACAGAAACCAGTGATGATGACCAGTTAGGTCATCATCAGAGTTCCTGTTGACTGGTTCTACCTGAAGTTTGCACTGCTACCATGAACACTTACCTGGTGTGCTCTCTGCAACCAAGGCACCTTTATGAATCCACTCTTGCCTGCATCTCTACTCTGTGATCAAATATGTTTTGGGGGTTACATCTGAGTAATCCACTGCAGCAGATGTGACACAGTGTTGCCATGTGGAACTAATTTATCCTACCAAGATATTTACTTTGAATCATTTGTCCTCATCTTTTTGTTTCCTCAAAACACTTCAGGGAACATGTGGTAGAACTGTGGTTTTACTGTGTATGCTTAGTTTTGGCTTATTTTCTTTCAGTTTTGTGGAAAATGGTTCTATGTCCATGCTTAAAATAGGATTTATCTGAATGGCAGTCACTTTTAAATTTATTTTTGGGGTGGGTGTGTGTGAATTGACATTTGTGGCAATTTGACCTGGGAAGTGTCTTATTTAACCCTTTCTGGGAAATAATTAAAGGAACAGAGTCATTCAAGTTCAGGAACAGCAAATACAAGATCTCTTCTGAGCAAGTGTGTTCTCTAAATTTATTGACTATCAACCAACATAACAGATGTGACTGCATGCAGTAAAAGTCTCTCTTGAATTAT